GTTGGTGAGGTACCTGGAATAGTAGTGGTTGGAATATCTGGAACCGAACTACTGGTAGTAACCACAACATACTCAGTTGAAGGTAATGAACCGGTGGTGATGGTGGTAAGGTAAGTAGTTGGTGAGGTACCTGGAATAGTAGTGGTTGGAATATCTGGAACCGAACTACTGGTAGTAACCACAACATACTCAGTAGTTGGAATAGAGCCAGTAGTGATGGTAGTCAAATAAGTTGTTGGTGAAGTACCTGGAATGGTTGTAGTTGACAATGGAGGAAGTTCCACAACAACCCTGGAAGTAGTAATATCTCCTGTAGTGATGGCGGTTGTATAAGTCATTGTGGTACTGTCGGTGCCTGTTAAGGTTGTGGTAGATATAGGGATTGTAACAATTACCACTTCAGAAGTGGTGGAACCCTCTGTGGTAAAAGCTGTTGTGTATGTTCTATCAGAAGTACCCGGAACAGTAGTGGTAGATAAAGGAGGAACTTCGACTACCACAGTAGCGGTGGCTCTTCCAGTTTTAGTGGGAGTGGTAGTTGTGGTTGAAGTAAAACTACTTTCCCATGTACTAGTGACTGTGGTAGTGGCTACAACACAGGCTTCACCACGTGATGGATTATAGATTGGAGCATTATCACTTGTGAAAACAGACCCACTTGGATAAGTGATTTGATATTTCAAACTACCTGTACCACCAAAGTTTGCAAGAAGGAATTTGATCGGGTAGTAACCGGGCAGTAAGGTCACCAGGTATGTACGGGCCGTCTGATCGGTATATATTGTGGTCAACTTAGGTGAATCTCCAGCATTGTCTGTAACATTACCACAACAGTCATAATTCTGAGTTGTACCAAGATACATGGAAGCTACATCATCCCCCAAAAGAAATTTGAACGTGTAAGTACCAGCTTCGTAGGCATGGAGATAACCCGTCAATCTTAGTCCAAATCTAAAGGTGTAGACGTATTCACCGTACAATTCATTATTATTTGGTGGAGTTGGGAAGTAAAAAGACAGATTTCTCACGTCATAAATTGTCCTATTCAATGGTAATGATTCGACATTGGGCAAGTAATTGATACAAGTGGTACCAGAGCATTGAGCGGCGTCTAACAGGAGATCGTAGTAATCAGCGGTCAATCCTACGTTAACATCATCAAAGTCACAAGTTCCGATAGTGACCGCTTGAACTTTAAAGCAAAGAAAAAGCAATAAACCTAAAAATTTAAGCATTGAATAATTTGTTTCAAGAGCGTGCAAGGGTATTTATATAGTATTCAGGTTCCGAATTTTTGATGTATAGGATTTTAACCATGATATTTTCTAGACGCCATTATCCTGGCCAGACATGAAACAAAGAAAAAAAAGAATTAGTCTTTCAGCATGAATGTTTCCTTTAACGGGATTTTCCATACCTTACTTTTGAAATTTGCTTGTTTCGGGAGTCTAAAAATGGAAGATTTTTTGCGTGCTCGTAAGGTTTCAAAGGGCCTCCAGGCTACTGATCCATGTTTCTCCGCTAGGGAACAACATGGTATGAAACCAAATTGGGCGAAAGATTGGAGGTCATTATCATAGATTACAGCCATATTGGTTTATTTCTGAAAAACGAGATTAATCGTGAAGTGGTCAATTATTGCAACAAGAAAACAGAAATTATAGAACAGCGGGTTTTTAAGATCAAACGCCTTTCTCCAAGTCTTGTAAAAGAAGTGAATAAGAATACACCTCTCTAGAGCTATATGAAAGGTTGAAGGGTGACGAATTACCCTTACATTACGTACAATCGTCTTTTATGGAACACAATTTCAGAGATATGCAGTTCACCAGATTGACCACGAACGAAGTAGCCAATTAAAAGTTCAAAAATTCAAAACGAACTCGATTCTGGGTTCGTAAATAGATTTACAGTATGAACAGAGGGCTTGCCTATTTCCTAATATGTCCTTCTCATGGCTTGAAGAAGTAAACGTATCATTACCTAAACGCTCAATGGATCATTAATATTATTTAGAAAAAGAAAACTTCAATGAAACAATACCCTGTGTTTCCCCCCTTCTGCCCTCAATGTATGAATTCAGAAACCATTTCCGAAAGCAGAAATACACCATCCCTCATTACGAAATGATTGTTGCAAAAATAACTCAAAGATCAAGAACAATGGGATTATGGTCAAAGACATTTTTTGGTTGTTTGGTGGGAATGTGGTAGGATAATTGTGATGGCCATCCGTTTTGGGTCTTTTGTTTCCCAAAGAGGAAATGCATAGGGATAAGTGGAATTCTTGATACGGAAAAGTGTTGCAGTCCGGTCTTGTAGGGGCGAAGAGGCGGCAAGATATGTTTTTATCCAATGGACAAAGAAGGGTTCAAACACACGCTCAAGAACTTTGGTGAAGTGTTTTAAATTATTGGAGAGATACCATAAAGGTTGACCTTACGAAGTCAAAAACTTGAATTCTCTTGGATTGTGAGAATTTGATTAACTATGCTCGTAGTGGAAGTTATTGTTACAAGACGAAAACATCGCCCAAACCATCCATACCTGCTTACCAACAAATCCATATAATATTTATTGTTTGACTGCGTATAGACAACTGGTTGATAGGAGATGTGGTCGTGCATCAAATTTTGTTGAAAACTAGCAGAAAAATTACCACATCCAGTAATTCTACTACGCAGGAAAATAATATCAACTGTAACAATACCTCAGGGATATTTTTAAAGATGAAATTGATGACATAACTATTGCGTACATGTGAGGATAAAGACGAAAAGGCCAGCTAGTTAAATTGAAACGAGAAGTATAGTAAAAAATTATCATTTTTGGTACCCTGGAAGTGCGGTCCTCATTCGGTGAAATAATTTCTATGCAATTCCGTTACGCAAATATGGGTTAATCGAATTTCCGCATAATTGAAACCAGGACTTTCGTTAGTAAAGTGAGCTTGAAAGAAAAGCTTATTTTATGGGATGTTCATACGTATCTCTTTCATTCTTGTGTTCGGGTTTAGAACATGTAAGGGAAGTCATTGCTATGCTCTGTATTCCGAGTCTTCGGGAGGCAGAGACGGCGATATGGTTAGACTCAGGGCTATTGACTAAATTGAGAAAGCTCGTTTATGCGAGAATCTTTTGATCGACTTCGGATCGCGTCCAATGGGGGTGAGCAGCCTTGAGAGCAGCAAATACAAAACCGAATTCTCGTAAAAACAGGCATCGGAATTCAAGAATTAGAGAATGTGTAAATACACACCCCGAAGGGTTACTTCATAGACTTTTCTGTGTTTATTTTTTCAAACCATTTAAGGAATCAGCCCATCTAAATTAATCCAACCAAATGTGCTAAATGTCGTGCATCGAATTGCTATAGGAATATTTGCCTGCCTTCGAATAAATATCATTTGTCGACCAATGAATTCGAAACAATAGGTTTATCGGAGAAAGATGGGGATTGTTTCGAATATTCAAGATTGTTGGAAAATTTTTTTGTAATAGACGAGGGTAAATTTCCCATGCTTTTCAGAAAAATCAAAAATTGCATTTAATTCAAAGGACCGTGGATTTACAATGATGTGCCATTACCTAGGAAGTATTAACCGCATTCTCGCTAAAAACTGCCAGTTCACGGGTAGTTTTATTGTTATTGACCTATTTTATGAGCTAAGTTTTAATCTGAATTGTATTCCAAAGATGGCAAAATGTAACGGGGAACAATTAGAGCCATGTTTACTGAAATTTCCTGTTTAATAGTCTCAGTGGCATTGACGACGGATGTGTTCGCAAAACGATATCGATCGACTTCTGGTCGACCAATCTAGAGTGCTTCTGTATTATTCTCAACACCTACTACTTTGGATCATTGTAACTCTAGATAATTTCCTTCTACTCCTTATTTATTGTGCCGGTGACCACGAAATTCACCTCCCGAGGAAAAATATATCACCGGAATTTGTTGACAGACGTTTGGCAATATTATTACTTACGAGTTTGGTCTCACCACCAAGGAACACCTAATTTTCGTTGGGAGTAGAATCTTCATTGGAAATTATACTCTTGCCCCAAATCTCTCGCTATTCATAATTTGACTATTTCCTGAGACTGGAATCCCAAATGATTCCTGACGGATGGAGAGAGATATGCTGGGTCAACCTCCTCAAGAGGAGATTGGAAAAAGCCGCATTTTTTTGCAGCCATTATCGAGCTAATGTGCCAGAACTTTGGGATTTCAGCCAGCAAGAATCAAAATATAATAGAAAAGACTTCAATCTAGAACATGTATTATCGGTTGTACACACAAAAAGCTGTAAAAAATCAGTAACATAAAAATGGTATAAAAAATCGTTTTAAAAAAACGTAAAGCATGCATTTCACACAAAGATAAAAAAGCTGAAAATATACAACACCCAATGGGGTACGGGAATTTCAGAACTTCGACCCTCCTGAATCTCATAAGTTGAAACCGAAGGATTCAATGAGTGAGAGCTACTGAAAGAATTATACTGAACACTGCCTGTTGAATAAGAATCAGACGATCCATCTTCCAATCCTGGTGTGGCTAGCCAAGTAGATTGAGTGGATTCTTTTTGAGCCTCTGAGGCTTCTGTAAACAATGTGATTGGAACGGAAGTAAATAAAGGAAGATCAGTATCGGCGTCAGCCACAATTGAAGTGTTCCGCCATTTAGTTGTGATAGGAATGACTACTGCGATATCAGTGGACAATCTGCTGAAAAGAGTAGTAGGGTTTTCCTGAGATCCCTTGGTGTTCGATGAATCCGATTCTACTGATAAGTATTCAGAATGCCTCACATCGAAGCTGGAAGATGGATAACTTTGAGAACTAGGATAACTGGTACTGGGCGAAACCGTTTCAGAATCACCGTTGTCAGATGCTGATTTTGATATCGTTGAACTTGGGAAATAACTGGGGTATATCATCGTGGAAGTGCGTTGGTCATTTGAAACACTCTCGATTTTAGTCAGAGAAACAATTATTGAGTGCAAGTTTGACTCAGGATTGGTGCTTTGTGAAAATACCTCGGAAGTCAAGGAGGAGGGGTGATCTGATAAAACGGGCGACAATGTAGCGCTAAAAAATGTTTCCACTGCTCCAATGCTGGTTGATATGACAGAATTACCTGGTGTGGAATCAGTCGCTGTCAAAACTTTTGAGATCAGATTTTGGCGAGAAGGACCTTCAACAGACGAAGATAAACCCGATAAGGAATCAACTGATGAGTTATCTTCAATTGATGTCGATAGACTGAACAGATTGGTAGTTGAAGTGATCATACCCGAAGACAGACCAAAAACCTCCTTCGTGGATGAAACTACCTTAGAAGGCACATCAGACAGCCAAACACCACTAGGGTCGGATATTGCAATTGAGGATGTTTCCCTGGAAGACGCTTCATCGCTAATTGGCTCACTAGAAAACACTCCACCAGAAGATACCCCAATAGAAGACACTTCACTTGAAGATACGGCACTAAGATTCAGCTCACTAGAAAATATATCACTGGACGATGTCTCACTAAAAGATGTCTCACTAGAAGATGCTTCGCTAGAAATCACTTCTTTGGATGATACCTCACTTGAATATACCTTACTTGAATATAACTCACTTGAAGAAGCCTCACTTGAAGAAGCCTCACTATATGGAATTTTACGGGATGATACTTCACTGGAGGATGCCTCACCAGAAATCAGATTACTAGATATCACTCCATCTGTCGAAGATTCGACCACAACTACAACTTCAGATGTGATAGCTGTGCCAATGTTGGTATTGGTAGTGTAAGTTGTTGGTGTAGCTCCAGTGCTGGTGGTAGTTGATAATGGAGGTACCGCGATCACTACTTCGGATGTGGTCAAACTACCTGTTGAAATCACACTGGTGTAAGTACTGGCTGATTCTACCAGCCCTGTGATGCTTATTGTCGATAAAGGCGGTACCACCACAACAAGGTCAGAAGATACCCCACTAGATGATACATCACTTGAAGTTACTTTGCTAGAAGATGCCTCACTAGAAATCGGTTCACTAGAAGACACAGACATTTCACTAAAAGATACGTCACTGGATGGTACCTCACTGGAAGACAATTCACTAGCAGATAACTCACTAGCCGATACCTCACTAGCCGATACCCCACTAGAAGATGCCTCCCTGTAAGAGGCTTCGCTTGAAGATACCTCACTTGATGGTATCGCACTAAATGACAGTTCACTAAATGACAGTTCACTAATTGGCAGTTCACTTATTGGCGGCGCACCAGACGATACTTCACTAGATGATACTTCTCTGGAAGATGATTCACCAGAACTCAGTTCACTAGATACTATCTCACTTGATGACACATCACTGTCTGACACATCACTGTCTGACACATCACTGTCTGACACATCACTAAATGATACCGCACTAGATGATGCTTCACTAGATGATGCCACACTGGATGATACTTCACTAGAAATCAGTTCACTGGACGATACTTCACTAGATGATGGCTCACTGGATGATACTTCACTAGATGATGCCTCACTGGATGATACTTCACTAGAAATCAGTTCACTCGATGATACCTCACTAGATGATGGCTCACTGGACGATACTTCACTAGATGATGGCTCACTGGATGATACTTCACTAGAAATCAGTTCACTGGATGATACTTCACTGGATGATACTTCACCAGATGATGGCTCACTAGATGATACTTCACTCGATGATACCTCACTAGATGATGGCTCACTGGATAATACTTCACTAGAAATCAGTTCACTGGATGATACTTCACTGGATGATACTTCACTGGATGATACTTCACTGGATGATACTTCACTAGATGATGGCTCACTGGATGATACTTCACTAGAAATCAGTTCACTGGACGATACTTCACTAGATGATGGCTCACTGGATGATACTTCACTAGAAATCAGTTCACTAGATACCGCTCCATCTGTCGAAGATTCGACCACAACTACAACTTCAGATGTGATAGCTGTGCCAATGTTGGTATTGGTAGTGTAAGTTGTTGGTGTAGCTCCAGTGCTGGTGGTAGTTGATAATGCCGGGAGTACCACAACAACTTTGGAAGTGGTGATATCTCCTGAGGTGGTGGGGGTAGTATAAGT